GAAAGCCTCATCTTTCTCCCGCGGAGCGGCTGGTAGTTTCGAACCACTGACCTTAAGGTTCGCAGCCCAATTCATAACCACTACGCTACCAGAGCTCCTTGAGCTATAAGAGTATATACGAGTATATAGTGACACAATAGATGACAGCCTAGGAAACCCTGTGGGGCAGTTCTCCTCTGTTACACTGGGGCGCTGTGAGTGGATGCTATATAAGAATATTAAAAAAGAAAGAAAGAATATATACAGTATATGGTGATACAATAGATGACAGCCTAGGAGACCCTCTGGGCAATTGTACTGTATCCTATTGGGTTGCTGTTAGTCACAATCTACTTGGCAGTAGTAATACCCATGTGTACCAATACAGACTTGTTATGAACAACCACAGAACCCCTGGAGTCCTGGTGTGGCGCTGTGGGATAAAGCCCTGGACCAAAAGGTTGATTTGAACCACAAAGTCAGTGGTTCAAACTCACCAGCTGCTCCTTGGAAACCCTATGCAGGGTTGCTATGAGTCAAACCGATTCGATGGCACTTTAACAACGACACCCATAGAACCACAAATCCAGATGATTTTATATAGTAAGCAATATAAAGAAAGATAAGTGAACCCAGAGGAATGCCTGGTAGAGTTCTTGAAAGGAGGTAGAAAACATCTGAAATTTCTTTATGGCTTCTTAACATTTCCACTATAATCTGTTGGGAGCAGAAAAATGTGTGAACTATTTTTTTTTTAATGTAATGACTTATTTCCCACTTGGGGATAAGTTAAAGTAGTAGCTTAGTTTGGTGGTGGTAGTGTGCCGTGGAGTCGGTTCCCACTCATAGTGACCCCTGTATAGGGTATCCGAGGCTGTCAATCTACCAAAGCAGAAAGCCTCATCTTTTTCCTGAGGAGCAACTAGTAGATTTGAACTCCTGACCTTGCGGTTATCATCACTGTTCGTAAGCCACTGCTACCAGAGCTCTTAGTTTACTACCTCTGAAACTTGAGCTGGTATCAAAGGAGCTCGATGGCACTATGGTTAAAGCACTCTACCGGTAACCGAAAGGTCAGTGGTTCGAATCCACCAGCTACTCCGCCAGAGATAGACTTGGTGATTGGCTGCCTTAAAGATGACAGCCTAGGAAACATGATGAGGTAGTTGTAGTCTGTCATACAACAGTGCTGTGAGTCAGAGTTGACTCCCAGGTCATGGCTTCTTGTGTGTGTTTTTTTTAACTTGGTGCCAGGACAATTTTTTACCTGAGTCAGTCTGTAAAGAAATTATTGACCCTTTATAAAGATTCATCTCAGTGTGGGCTGTCTAGACTATTATTATTGTTGTTAAGTGCCATCAAGTTGCTTCCGACTCATAGCAGCCCTGTATAGGGTTTCTGAGGAGCAGCTAGTGAGTTTGAACCACCAACCTAATGGTTCAAACGGACCTTGAGGTCCAGTGTTTATCCTATAGAATCTTTAAAAATTAAGTCCCTGGTGTTGAAAGAGCTTTTAAGAGGAGAATCCACATCATAGATTTCGGGGGGACTCACTGTGTTTGGGCTGAATTCTAAGATATTGAGGGCATTTCATCTGTTGCATCTCCACTCACAGCCCTCAACTTTCTTTATGACTCAGTGTGATTCTCAGAATGATAACCTCAGCAAGGGTCAAATGAGAAGACCTGGAATTGTGTTTATAGTGAAACCTGGGCGAGCCAGAGCTTCACAAGGCTGCCCTGTTTTTCTGGGTTTCCAACATTTTCCAGCTTGGACAGAGTACTGACTTACCATGTTTTTTTTGCTCACTCTTTATTCTTGTTAACTGCCGTCAGATTGGGTTCCCAGCTCATAGTGATCCTATATAGGGTTTCTGAGGAACAGCCTTGTGGTTAGCAGTTCAGCGCTTATCCCGCAGCGCCACACCAAGATTCTCTGCTAGTGTTCTCCTTCTCTGCCAACTTTCTGCCTTGCATGGGCTCTGGCTTTCCCAAGTTTTACTATAGTCCTTGTAAGACTGCCATGTTTTTAGTAAGCCATGTACATCATGGGGGAGAAGTTCTGGTGGGGCGCTGTAAGATAAGCACTAGACTGCTATCCTCAAGGTCAGCTATTCAAACTTACCAGCCATTCCTTGGAAGTACTGTAAGGGTCGCTATGGGTTGGAACTCACTCAACAGCACTTAACGACAACTATAACACACTGGGAAGACGAATTATAGCTTGGCAAAAAGCTTCAAATAAAGACACAGGAGACAATCCGGGTGCCTCCGTGGAAAACATTGCTAATTACTTGCTCTATTAAGTGTCAAAGATCATAGTTATCAGAATGGCTTGCACCTCAATGTAAAGAAAACAAAAATCTTCACCACTGGACCAACAAATAACATCATGAAAAATGGAGAAAAGATTGAAGTTGGCAAAGACTTCATTTTGCTTGGCTCCGCTATCAGCACTCATGGAAGCAGCAGTCAAAAAATCAAACAACATATTGCATCAGGCAAATCTGCTGCACAAGACCTCTTTAAAGTGTTGAAGAGCAAAGATGTCAGTTTGAGGACCAATGTGTGCCTGACCCATGCCGTGGTATTTTCAATAACCTCATAAGCATGTGAAAGTTGGACAGTGAATAAGGAAGACAGTAGAAGAATTGATGCATTTGAGTTACGGTGTTGTGAGGAGAATATTAAAAGTTTCATGGACTGCCAGAAGAACAAACCAATCTGTGTTAAAAGCCGTACAGCCAGAGTGCTCCTTAGAAGTCAAGATGGCGAGACTTCCTCTCTCATACTTCAGATGTATTATCAGGAGGAACCAGTCCCTGGAGAAGGACGCCATGCTTGGTAAAATGGAGGATCAATGATAAAGAGCAAGACCCCCAATGAGATGGATTGGCACAATGGCAGCGGCAGTGGGCTCAAGCTTAACAATAATTGTGAGGTTGGCAGAGGTCCCGGCAGTATTTCCTTGTGTTGTGCATAACGTTGCTATGAGTTGGAAACAGCTGAACAGCATGTAACAACAACAACATTGAGTGTCAGGCCAATTCATTCTGAAGATTTCCAGAGTTGTGGTTCAGACTCACCAGTTGCTCCTTGGAAACCCTACACAGAGTTGCTATGAGTCTGAACTTAACAATAACAAATGTTAAAAGAGTCCTGGTGTCCTGGTGTGGCACTGTAGGACAAATATGGTGGTTCAAACCCACCAACCATCCTTGGAAACCCTATACAGGGTTGCTATGAGTCAGAATTGACTCGATGGCACTTAATAACAACAGTATTCAAAGAAAATTAGAAAACCTATGACTACAAATTGGTGTGCTTGTTATTTTAATCTGTCATATTGTTTTTGTTTTGTGTGTGAAAATAATGTTGTCTCAAACTATTAGTGAAACAGTATTGCCCCAGTGCTAATATGATTTTGTTAAATCATATTGGTTTATTGTTTTCCATTTCAGTTTCCACCTGATGATCTGATCCCCGATGGAAAAAGAATCATTTGGGATAGTACAAAGGGTTTCATCATCACAAATGCAACATACAAAGAAATCGGGCTTCTGATCTGTCAAACAACAGTCGACGGACATTTGTACCAAACACACTATCTAACACATCGACAAAGTAAGTGATACCTTCCAGTTACAAACATAAACCAAAATGCTCTGTGGTTCATCTGCTCGATAGAACCTTTCAAAAAATAAAATAAAATAAAATAAATGTATCTCTTATCCTTACAGCCAATACAATCATAAATGTTCAGATGAGTACACCAAGTCCAGTCAAAGTATTCCTAGGTGATAAGCTTACTCTCAACTGTACTGTTATCACGGCTTTAAACACCAGAGTTGAAATGAACTGGAGTTGCCCCCGGAAAGTGAGTAACCTGTTTTTGTGTTCTGTAAAACAGCATGTCTTTTTAGTAAGTGAAATTCCACTGGGATTTATGTGGGGAAAGAAGGTACTTCTCAAAGGGAGGAGTAATAATTGGTTAAGTCGAGTTCCTAAAATTTCTTTGGTCTGTTTCATTTAGGGGATAGATGCTCTTACTTCTGGTGGGCAGAACTGACTCTGACTGCTATGGAAAGATTAGCCCCTAAGGAAGCTTTGGGTGCAGGGAGCATTCTTTGTCTTGCATTTCTTGGGTGTGATATGCATAGATACGGTCTTTTGATGTGGGTGGTTCTCCTGTTTGAAGTTTATAGGCTGGTAGTTCTACTGCATGATTCTGGGTGGAAAAAGGGATTGTTTCATCCTTGGGAAATTGTTCTCTAGGATTTAGAGATGAGAGAGAAAGTTATCACCAAATGCCAGGCCCAAGGGCTGTCTTTTGTAACAACAGAAAGTTTTGGGAGGCTGTCTCTGTCAGCACATTTGTTTAAGAGACGGACAGACAGACAGGCACCTAATTGGAGTGTGTTTGGGAGAGATATTACAATACAGCAGCTCAGTGTTCCGTTTGTTAAGTGTCAAAGGAGCAGAAAAAATGAGAAGAATGAAGGCTGAGTCAGGTTTCTTTAGTCCAACTGTTGTGGTGAAGTGCCCTTGATTCAGCTCTGACTCATAGCAACCTTGTGTAGGATTTCCAAGGAGCGGTTGGTGGGTCCGAATAACAACAACAAATAAATGCTGGACTTCTGGTGTGGCGCTGTAGGATAAAGCACTGAACCCCAAGGTAGGTTTGAACCACAAGGTCAGCAGTTCAAACTCACCACATGATCCTTGGAAACCCTATACAGGGTCACTATGAGTAGGAACCAAGTCCACGGCACATAACAACAACAACCTTGTGGTTCAATCCAACCTTGCGGTCCAGCGCTTTATCCTACAGCACCACATTAGGGCTCCTTAGTTTAACTGAACATCCTTATAAACAATAGTTATTAAAAACCTATAAGGAGCTCTGGTAGCGTGGTGGTTACGAGTCGGGCTGCTAACCTCAGGGTCACCAGTTAGAAACTACCAGCTGTTCTGTGGCAAAAAGATGAGGCTTTGTGCTCCCATAAAGATTTACAGCCTTGGAAACCCTATGCAGGGTCGCTATGAGTCAGAACCGACTCCGCGGCATACCACCAGCACCACCATTAAAAACCTATAGATGGTGAATCTAGGATAAACTGTGAAGAAAACTTGGACAATAATCCTTGTATGATTTATGATTTGTCACAAACTTATAATTAAATTAAGTACAAAAGATTAATGCATCAGTCTCAAACCATCTTTTTTTTTTTTTTTTGAAATTAACATTCTTTTCCCTGGAAATAAAACAATGGATACAATCTGCAACAACAGAAAAGCAACATAGTGCTCTGCAGCGACACATTCAGGATTTCTAGAAAGTAGAATGTTGTTGTTAAGTTCCATGAGTGGGTTCATAGTGACCCTTTATAGGGTTTCTGAGGAGCGACCGGTGGGTTTGAACCGCTGGCTTTGCGGCTCAAACTGATCTTGCAATCCAGCGCATTGTCCTGCAGTGCCACACCAGGAAATGTTGTTGTTGTTGTTAAGTGCCGTCGAGTTGGTTGCAACCCATAGCGACCTTATATAGGGTTTCCGAGGAGCAGCTGGTGAACTGGAACCACCAACCTTGCAGTTGAAATGGCTTTGCAGTCTGGCACATTAACCCACAGTGCCACACCAGGACTCGAGGAAGTGTTGTTGTTGTTGGTGTTGTTATGGGCCATGGAGTCGGTTCCGACTCATAGCGACCCTCTACAGGGTTTCCAAGGCTGTAAATCTTTATGGGAGAAGAAAGCCTCATCTTTCTCACGTGGAACAGCTGGTAGTTTCGAACTGCTGACCTGAAGGTTCGCAGCCCAATTCGTAACCACTACGCTACCAGAGCTCCCCGAGGAAGTGGTGTAGTTCTGCATAAATCAAAATGTTATGACTTATAGCAATATTACTAACATTTTTAAAGAAACAAAATGTTCTCTATAGATGCCAAGAAGGAAGGCATTTTTATTCTGTTCGTGCTGTTATTAAACATAAGAAAACCCACTGATGTTGAATTGATTGTGACCCTTAGAGACCCTATAGGACAGCAGAGAACTGTTCCTTAGAGTTTCTGAGACTGTCGATCTTTATGGGAGCCGTGGATTTGAACCACTGACCTTGTAGTTAGCAGCTGAACACTTAACCACACGGCACCCCCAGGAGTCTCCTTGTAAGTAAGAGTATCGGTGATACTGTTGAGTTGTTGATTGGACGTCCATCTTCTAAGATGGTGCTGTTCTGTAGAACCTTCCACAATGGATACAATCTGTATCTATGTGTCTGGTTCAGTGACCACTAGCTAAGTGTGATTATGAACACTTGAAATGCGACTATGCAACCGAGGAACAGAATTTTACATTTTGATGAGCTTTAATTAATGTTCATCTAAATAGCCACTTGTGGCTGTAGGAGGTAGAGCTGGTCTTTTAAAATACAGAACCAGTTGTTTGCTGAGGTAAAAAGCAAAGATGTGTTCCTCATGCTTGGCAGAAAGAGGCTTGCTCTCAAAGGGAGGGTTCAAGCTATGTAAGTAGAGCTTCAAAACTTCTTCAGTCTGTTGAATTTAGGGGATTGTACTTTGATATTTGGTGGTGTTGACTGACATTTTCTCTCTGGTTGTTGAGTATGGCTTGATCATGGGTATGTTCCCACAGGGCAAGAAAAGGCTAGGTGGAGAGAAGTCGATTAAATGTGGCCCAAAGGAGAGCTAAGGTCCCAAGATCAGTTCTGAAGAGCTTCTGAAATCTTTTTGTTCCATGCCCCCTAAAGGGGAAGGTTTGAGAGGAGGAAGTAGTATATTGTGGGTTCTAGAATGTCACGTCAGAAAAAGGAAGGAATAATTAAAGGATAAAGTAATATGATTTCATACCTCAAAACAGGGGAGCAAGTCATTGTGGCAAGTCCCAGTTGATAACCTTCTAGATCTTTCCTTCTCCACCCCACCCCTCGTCCCCATCCCCTTGAAACCACTCGGCAACACTCTAGAGATTTTTAAGTCTTCTCTTCTTGGTCTTCACTGAGGTAAACATGGGAGAAACCTCCCACCCTCTTGAGTCTCTAGATCTTTTTTATTCTTCTCTGAGGCAAACACAGGGGATGGACTACACACACACACACACACACACACACACACACACACACACACACACACGACCTTCTAGGTCTTCTCTTGGTCTTCCCTGAGATAAACAATGGACAACCATGCCGGCAACCTCCAGGTCTTCCCTTCCCTTCTGTGCAGTAAACATGATATGATATCCCCCATCCCCACCACACCCCAAGAGTTTCTAGATCTTCCCTGAGGTAAACATGAGATGACATACCCCAAATGTTGGTAAACTTGTTGATGGCTTTGCATGCCCCAGATCCATTTACTATATTTTAGCAACAATTAGCAAGCTCTACTCACAGCTCACCAGCCTTCTTGGAAACCCTGTACAGGGTTGCCATGGGTCTGAACCAACTGGACAACACTTAATACCAACAACAAATACATGCTAGACTTCTAGTGTGGTGCTGTAGGATTAAGCATTGAACCCCAAGTTGGGTTTGAATCACAAGGTGAGCAGTTCAAACTCACCAGAAGATCCTTGGAAACCGTATCCAGGGTCACTATGACAGCACTTCATCAGTAAAAGCTGTGTTACATATTCTAAACACACCTAGTTAGAGATGTGATTTCCAAACATCTTGCTCTACTTTCGTATGATAGACTTCTTAGCATAAAAAGAAGTCCTTGTGAAAATGTAGATTACCTCCTTCACCTGGGAAATGCTATAACCTACCACGTGAACAATTACTGCTTATATATTCAAGTTATGCGTTTCCTTCCTAGACAATTAGGAGAGCTTCCATAATGCAAAGGATTGACCGAAGCAATTCACATGCCAATGTATTCTACAGTGTTCTTACTATTGACAACGTGCAAAAAAAAGACAAAGGACTGTATACTTGTGAAGTGAAGAGTGGACCATCATTCAAATCTGTCAACGCCTCAGTGCATGTATATGGTAAGCGATAGTTCACACTGGTCAACTCATGCTGTATACTCTCATCACTGTGAATTCTTTTGGGTCTAGAAAACAAGTCTATTTTCTTTTGGCTAAGAGTTAGGATGAAACCAATGAATGGAATTTTGCCATGGTTCCCTCCTCTTCTCTTTGCGTTCCCACCAGAAAGCCAATCACATTAAGTGCTTTTTAAATTGAGTACTTTTTAAGTGAATGGAGAGTCTTGTCTTTCCAAGTTTATTGTGTTCAAGAAATCAGTGAGGTAGCATTATAATTTTGTTTATGAAATTCTTTATCTACTGTTGCATATTACCAAAACAGAAAAAGGTGACTAGTTTTATTTGCTTTTCTTACCAGGGAACATTTTCCCAGGTAGGTCACTAGGAGTCAGAACTGACTCTACTCAACGACATTTTACAATAACAACAACTGTGAATTTGAGAAATAAAAAAATACTGTGATAAATTATTATTTAGAGTTGATGTTATATCTCTCTAGTTTTACTATTATGGAAAAATCCTAATATTGTTGCTTGATTTCAGTCTGCAAATTTTATAAACCCCTGTTGCTGTTGGATGTCTCAAGGTTATTCTTACTCATGGAGCCCCCCATGTGTCAGAGTAGAACTGCCCCA